TGAGACTTCCAGTGAGACTTGGGGCTCCATCAAGGTGACCAGAGTGGGGGCTGTGAGCCCCGAGCCCCATCAATCTTCCGCAGCAAGTCTGAGCAGGTCAGTCATCAATGAATCTGGCATTGATGAAGTCTCCTGTGAGTGCGAGGGATTAGAGGATGGCCTAGTCACTCGCTGGCGCTTAGGACAATCACTTTTCCAGTGCCCTTTATCTTTGCAGTATGGGCAGGGCCCAGGAGGAATACCAGGGTTGGGACAGTCTCTTGCCCAATATCCTTGTTTGCTGCATTTGAAGCATAGTCCGGGCGGGACTCAGGCAGCCACACCTTGTTGTGGATTTTTTGTCTTGGGAGCTCCGAGTGCCACTGCTAAGAGGTCAGACTGATATTTAGCAAACTTTAATTTTTGAGCTTGCTTTTCCTCTTTCTGGAGCTTCTCTCTATTGTTGAAGATACGGAAGGCTAATTTAAGTAGATCTCCTTGTGGAGTTTGACGGCCGTGTTCAACCTTTTGTAATTTTTCATGAATATCAGGAGCACACTGTGAAATAAAATAGGAGTTAACAACAATCATCCCTTTGTGAGAGTCTGGGTTTACATTGGTATATTTAATTAAGGTTTCCCGAAGCTGATTTAGAAACACAGCCGGGTTTTCATTAGCCTCCTGGACCTGTTCTAAAAGCTTGTTATAATTAGTGTGTTTGTGAGCGATCTTATTAAGGTCCACAATCAGACACTCAATCATCTTATGTAATTTTGTTGAACCTTGTCGATTTTGATAGTTCCAGTTAGGGTCTTGGTCTGGCACAGCTACAGGCCCAGGGTCGTTGTCAGTAGTATTTGCCCTGTGCCTGCAGTCAGCTTCTTCTCGAGCTGCTTGCCACAGCTGATTTCGCTCTTGTGAGCTAAGGGTGGTATTTAAAATCATATAAACATCCTTAAAATGTAAATCATAACAATTGGTGATAAATTCAAATTGCCTAATATAATTCTGTGGATCAACAGAGAAACTGCCTAATTTATGTGTAATCTGAGACAAATCAGAAAGAGAAAATGGCACATGTATATTAACAGTCCTTCAGGGCCAGCTTGCTCCCGAAGTGGCAGCAGAGCCTGAGAAGAATGTGGAGGAGAGTGCCATTGGGCAGCTATCCGCCCAGTAGACATGTGTGAGTAATTATCTGAAGAGTGGCTATAGAGTGGCTGTCGATCACCCTGGGACGAGGAAACACAGGCAGACGGCATTGCACTGCTTGCCTTGAAACCAGAGGATTGTTGTGGGCCGTCACCACATGGACCGCAACAAGGCGGCTGTTGCTGTTCACAAGAGGAGCCACAAAGGGGGCGCCCATTGACCGCAAGACCAGAACAAGCATGGCGGCACCCTGATGCCATGGTAACTGAATATGGTGGCGCGCCACGTGACCCCTCTGAGCATGGCAGCACCCCGTCACCATGGTAACTATCTGAACATGGTGGCGCTTTGTCACCACGTGACCTGCATGAGCTGCTGGAACATGGTGGCGCTGCATTATTGCCGCAGCTGCCTGAACATGGGGAGCATGGCAGCTGTTTACAGCGCAAGCTAGAAAAATCACGCTGTTTGCTGGAAGGGCACAATGAACGTGACCTAGTGTGGTAGGCAGGTGGTGAGAAGGTATCAGAGGGCAGAGCAGAGCTGCTGGGAGAGGCCTGTATTTCGGAAGGCGGAGGGAGAGAGGATCGCGCAGTGAGAGGTAATTTCGGTGCAGAGGGACCAAAAGTGGGGGAGGGGGCTGTGGTGGTGAGCGAGATAAGGGTGAAAAATTAATTTGGGAGTACGGTGGAGCTCGAGGATAAATCAGCGGAACATCCTCAAGCATATCTTGGGGACAGGATGAAACAGGTTGGGTCACACTAGAGCTAGCTAGGAGTATATGAGTGTGATTACAGGACTTAATGAGAGACAGACGCATTTTCAGAACCAAAAACGCTTCTATGTATGGGAGCTCTATCACTCTGTCACTAGCTCAACAGAAATCATACAGTGTTTGTAGAACGGAAACATCAAATGTCCCTTCCCTAGGCCAGTGCTTGCCAAGGAGTGGGTACGTAGGCCAAACTTCCTGGCAGTAAGATGTTAATAATTTAGTTTTTATGGTACTTTCAATTTTTAATGTACGTAAATTGGAAATTAAGCATTGTAAACGGCGTTTCTCGGGAGTTTGGAAGTAAATTTCCCATTGTTGATTTAGGCAAGTAAAACCCGGTGGCCCAGAGAATAAGCCGTCACCGATTCCATGGCGCCACACTGCGGGGCTAAGGTTCCAAAGCTCGTAGATTCTAGTCATTACTGAGAAATGTACGAGGGGGGTTTGCGCAAGGTCAGTAGCAGCTTTGCTGGTGAAAGCGCAAGGCTATTCAAGAAAGCAAGGTATTTTTCAGTGTGGGCGGTCCAAAAATTTCTGCTTTGGGCTATCAGAACCCAAAGAACACGAGAAAATTTAGTGTGGACACAGGCTAGCCCAGAAAAAACCTGCTCAGGGCTGTCCTAGGGAGGTGAAAATGCTAGAGACCCACACAAACAGGGGAGACCAGTCCACTGGGGCCCGGCCCAGTGCCACGAGTCTTCCAGAGCATGCTCACCTTAAATCAATCTGGTTGGTGGTGTGTGGAGGTGCCCGGCAAGAGGTGAAATGCGTCTGGGCAGAAGGAAAAGTGCAGAATCAAGCCAGGACGTTACCGGTTCGTGAATCGGCCAGGGACCCAACTGAGCGTGTGTGTCCCAAGGGTCAATCGCCCACTGATCGAGTCACATGGCACCAAATGATAGGATTATTTCCAGAAGATGAAAAATATTCCCAAAAGATGAGGAGTATAAATCAAAAGAGGCCTTTATTCTGGGAACACGGAGAGAGAGGACTGGCACACTGGCCGCTGAAATCTGGCGATAGCTCTCTCACGTGGACAGGTGGCTTGGGGGAATAGAAGTAGCCTAAGCTTAGGGCAGTGCCCTACGGCCATTAGAGATGCAGGTATTTCATTGGCACACGTTTGGTGCCAGGGGCAGATTCCGAAGGGTGGAGGGGGTACAGGTAAATCTCTAGGGGCGGGGGAGGCAGGAGCTCCCTAATTCCGGCTGAGGCTTTTTCTGGCTACAGTGTGCTGTCTGGGTCAACAACCCTTTCAATCATCATGAAGATTGTAAAGCTGTACAGATCAAAGTTACCCCAACTTTTAAAAACAGAGTCAGGGGCTGGGAATATGGCTCAGTGGCAAAAGCCTGTGGCTGGCAAGTACAAGCACTAAGCTCCATTCCCCAGGGGGAAAAATCAGCACTTTCAGCCAAAAATGGACTCTGAAATTATCCTTCTTAAGAGGAAACATTTCTGGTATAGAACATTCTCCAAAGTAATGAAAAAATTTAAACCTCATGAAAAGACCGTATGTTTGAGGCTGAAAGGACCCAATCAGTAGTAACACAGCTTCCTTTATTTACTAGAGAAAGAAATCTAGACCTTGACTAGAGCAGTGGTGGCAAAACTATGGCATGCATACTATTGTGGTTTTTTCCAAAGTAAAAGAAATTAATATGTGAATTATTTTTTTCTGAACTAAAACTTGGATATTCAGGTTTAATAGTATATTGGTAATTTGCTGTAAGTGTGTTTGGGGTTACAGTTTGGCACTTGGTCACAAAGACGTTCATCATCACTATGTTACAGGCAGCTGAGTTTGTTAAAATATTACAGGCAGTCAGGCACAGCTGAGCCCTCAAAGGAGCCAGAGCAGAAGTTCAGATACCTTGCAGTCTTGGAAGAGATGATCACTTCCTGCTGTGGGCCAGATCTCAAGACAAAAGGCAAAGCAAATACAACCACATCCTAAGGGTCCACAGTCCAAATAGTTCTCTGTCACCCAGAGAGAGTCAGGAGTCAGCATCCCGCCCCTACAGGAAGAGTCCCTGCTGTTAAACATGTCCCCTTAATACATGACTCCCCAATTTGTTCCTAATTTAATCAGTTTTACCTGAGCAATTAATCTTACTGGTTGACCACAGCTCTGTCCCACCTTATGCTCACCTTGCAAGTTCCCAGTTTTCCTCTCCTGTGACCTATCTAATCTCATGATTTTACTCTATAAAAGTCCCTAGAAAAGATAGAGTCCCTGGCACCCCACTCAGGACCCTTCTGTCTTGCAGACAGAAGCTTTCTTTCGCTAAATAAATATATTCTGCTCATAACCTCCATTGTTCCTAAAATTCATTCTTCAATTTTAGAGGACACAAACTAGTACCAGACATAGAGTAGGTTGGGAGTTTCATTCACCTATATTAACTACAGTAGAGTAATAGTCTAGAAAAAAATGACTATTTTCTGTGTATTTTGTAGTAGCTGGATTTTCTTTCTTTCTTTCTTTCTTTTTTTAATACCAGGGATCAAACTCATGACCTCGCACTTGCTACACAGGCACTTATACTACTGAGCTATGTCCCTGGCCCTTTTCTGCATAATTTTAAAAACAGGCTTTTTTAAATTAATTGAGTTTATTGGTACATTTTAGATATACATAATGATCACATTCACCATAGGGAACCTATGCCTGTGCATGATATATCTTGATTCTTTTGTTTTCCATCCCCATACTCTCTCTTCAATCCCTCTTTTCCTCTTTATAAAAACTTTGCAATTTTTCTTTTCCCTTCCTTACTCTCCCCCATCTCCTGCCTAGCTCCGCTTCCCACTTGAACATTTCCTTCCTATTTCACAATATATATTATACATTTTGGTCCTTATTTAGACTTTTGATTTTTTTCACACCAGAGAAACAATATATTTACATATGTGTGTCCAATTTATTTCATTTAAGAGCATGGTCTCAAGATGCATCCATTCACTTAGAAATGTATAAAACACTTCTTATTTATGATGGAATAACATTTTATATATATATATATATATATATATATATATATATATATATTACATCTTCTTAATCCATTATCAGTTTATGGACATTTAGGTTGTTTCCAAGACTTAGTTATTGCAAACTGTGCTGCTATACACATGGGTCTGCATGTATCTCTGTGGTATCAGTGGTATGGTGATGTTAATTCTTTTGGGAGATAACAAGAAGGGGGATGGCTGAATTGAATGAAACCCCTAAGCCTCTAGTTTTAGTTTTTAACACTGACTACAGAGAGGTTGCACCAGTCTACATGCCCATCAGCATCGGAGAAGTTTTCCTTTTCTGCCACAGCCTGCAAAGATTTTTTATTGGTTGATTTCTTGATATTAAAACAAAAACACAAGATCTCCTGGAAGAGAGAACAGTTAGAATTCATGAAGACATAGGTGTAGGTAAATATTCATGAACAAAACCCAACCACAATCACACAGAAAATATTGCAAAGAATCGACAGCCAAGATCTCATCTTATTAAAAAGCTTTTACACAGCCAGAGAAACATCTGAGTGAAAAGATGATCCACAGAGTAGGAAAAAATGTTGTCAGCTGTTCCTCAGACAAAAGACTAATATCCAGAATATATAAAGAACTCAAAAAATTGTATACTCCCAAATTTAAAGACCCAATACACAAATGGAAATATGAAGAGAATAGATGCTTCTAGATGAAGAATTAGAAATGGCAAATAAATATGTGAAAACCAGTTCAACATTACGGTCATTCAAGAGATGCAAATTAAAACAATGCTGAAATTCCATCTCATTCCAGAAAAAGTTAGTATATACAGGCACACTGCAATGCTTTAGAAAATAAAAGACAACACAATAATTTTTAAAATATTATTATTTTGCATTTTGAAAATATGAAAATCTACTTATCTCAGTCCTATTATACACAAGGAAGACTCCTTTCACCACAAGCTTATCTTTCTAACCTTCAGAGATAGTACTCAGGAGAAATAAATAAACAAGAAACAAAACAACCAGCCAACTATAAATATAAATTATATACATGTCCACACACATCACACAATTGCACATGGGATTAATTTGTTTTTCAGATATTTAAGTTTCTTTGTGATGTCTGCACTATTGATATGACTCATTTCTACACAAGTGCTCAGATGTGAAATTATACTTAAATAGAAAATTCTTTACTTCAGGAAAATTTCTCTGAAGCAACTTGAAGTTTCTTCCTGAATTTAGAAGAAGATGAAATAAAGGAATAAACATATTATACCTAAAGAAAACGGAAGTTGAAAGTTTGACAAAAATGAATACAGATATATACAGAGGAATCAGGAGGAAAATGCATTATATTAGAGGATTTGGAGTCCATTGAAGATAAAACTTACAAATTTGCATTGTATTTGAAAATGAAATGATAGAAAAAGACCAATGTTTTGTAGAATTTCAGGATATGAGTAGCATATAAATCATTATGTATTGTATGGATGCTCTAAGCTTTATAACGTGATGTCCTCAGAATTGACAGTTTCAAGTCATCCTCATTTATTGTGTCACTGCTTCTCCTAAGAATCTGGTTATGATTTGTATGGGTCTCTGTCTTAGATTCTCACGATGGCCATCAAGGTACTGGCTGTCACCAGAGTCTCATCCTGGCTGTCACCAGAGTCTCATCTGAAAGCTCAAAGAGGCAACGATCCACGTCTGGACTTGCTTCCGTCCATTGTCACTGGCAGGATGCAGTCACTTGTGATCTGTTGGGCTGAGGACTCTGTTCTTACTGACGGATGCTCAGATGTTTCCACTGGCTTCGCACCACACACGTCTTTCCATATGGCTTTATTAAAGAGTGAAGTCCAAGGAAAAAGAAGTTACATTCTTCCACGACATTAAGGTGAAAGTGATACGCAGTTGCATGAGCCACGTTCTATCACTTTAGAGAAAGTCCCAAGATGCCAACCGTCCTAAGGAGGAATATAACACAAGGGAAGGAGCTGCCGGAAATCGGATCATTGAGAACCATCTTTGGAAGAAGCACAGTACCATGTAAATGCTGTACTAATCGTATTGCAGCCTTAGTATGAATAGAATTCCCCATTAGGAATTCTGCAAGGACCGTTACCATGTGTGTTTGTTTGTTTGTTTGTTTCTCAAATACAAACTTGCTGCTGCTGGGGGGCACTGACTCCATCTATACCTGCATTGTGCGTGTCATCTCAAAGGATGATTACCCGATTGTGTGGACTGCTTTGGCATGGGTGGGAAAGTGGCGATGCTTTGAGAAAGAACAGCAAACAAATTCTGTCAGTAAACACTGACTCAGAAAACGTATTTTAAGATCTCTCTCATCTGTATTCTTACAACTATTCACTCTCTGATTTTTCTTCCTGAATAAAAAATCTGTATCAACAACCCACTTTTGTCCTTGTGGTATCTCTCATCCTCTCGAATAAAATAGTGGGCATTTCCTGAGAGCCTGTCACACACTTGAAACCAAACCATTCGTGTTCCCTGAAGATTTCCCAGTATTTTCTTTCTCCAGCACCTCCACCCCCGAGTAACGGGTGTCAACAGTAAGACTATGAGGAATGGTACTAGCCTTTTCCCCTTCCTTTGGTGTTACGGCTGATACATTGGGTCAACTTGAGCAGTTTAGAAGTTTAACTGGAGACTCAGCAAGGAGCCAGGGTTCTTACTTTGTAAACATCTTCATCCTGTGCAAAGCAGGGCAAAGAGATTTTGTGAGTGCTATGGCCACCCTGGAATGGAGTTGGCCTGTGTCCAATATTAGCCAGGAGAAGAGGTTTGTTTTTCCCTTTTGTTTGGCTGCTGCCTTGAAATGTTGCCCCAGTTTCCTGGAGCCAGTGAGTTATGGACTGAAACCTCCACAAAATGTAAGAAGTAAACCTTTCCTTCCTTCATTTTGAGTATCAGGTGTTTTGTCCAGCAACAAGAGAAAAGTAGCCAAGACATTTGGGAAATGTACTTTATAAAAACAAGAGTTTGATCACTTTAGAAGTTTTTTTCAATCGTTTTTCTTGCAATATAATGGAGCTTACAAAGTTGAAATCTAAAAGTCAAGTAGTAGAAACAATTGTACAGCAGCAATCACAAATGAGCATTAAGATTGAGAAAACCAAGAAGTGAGTTGGTAGATCTCTCACCAGAAAGAGAATCTGCCCTAAGGTATCTTTAACTTCAACTCAGAAGAAACCTTTATAATGTATTGCATGGAAGGAACCGCTCGTCAAATCTGGTGTCTAAGACAGTTGTTAAGTTGCTTACCTACCTGGATCCAACAGTTTCATCCTTCCCAAGTTTATTGTGACAACATTCTGAACATACCACCCAAACGTGCCACATTGGCATGCTAATTATTTTGAGTTATAAGTCCTTGAAAAGCAAGAGATATAAGAAAAACATTCCAACTTTCTTTTTGATTTTAAAGAGGAGATAAAAAGCATCTTTCCTACACACCTGGAAGATGACACTCATCATTTAAAATGAAGAGTTGAGTGCAAAAGAAATTTAGGCAGGTAAACCTCACTGAACTTCATTGTTCAATCATTTTCACATTTTCTCTGTCCTTTAATCTTCTTTTGTCATAGTTTCACAGTACTCTTTATTCAACTCATTGTGTAAGCTTTTGGTTCTTCTGCTTCTTTGCATGTTTGTTGTTTAGAAGTTTAGAAGTTTCTTGTATAGGTACATGTAGTACCTATACATATCGTGAAATCAAAATATGCATGCATGTTTTCTGCTTTTAATTTGTTTTACATCAGTTTAATTCTTAGGCATTCCTGGAGACCTTAAGTAAGTAGAGGAGAAATTTTACTTCACTTACAATTGCAGGTGGAGGACTTCTAATCAATTAGCTTTAATATATGAGTGGGGTTGCATTAGCTAAGCTCTTACTAAGAAGTCATTCTAGCCACTGTGTTTTGTATCTTCTCAGACATGAGCTATGATTTGCATAGGAATTTTAGTTTGTTTGCATTAACTCCTTCATTCAAATTCTGTGTCATGGGGTTTTCTAGTTAAGGTAGAAAGTGTGGGGAATGACCACAACCTTCTTCTCATAAAACTGTCATTCTTTTAACTATTAAAATTCCTCTTCTACTTAGATTTGCTACAGATGAATAGAAAAAGTCAATTTTATTCATCTTTAATGTCATATATGGTAAAATATACATATTTCAAAAATATGAGACAAATGTACTCAGAAATAATTTTATTTGTATCATTATGCACATAAGCCTGTCTTTGCCTTGTTGCAGAGAAATGCTATCTAAAAAACATGTTAACACGAGCATCATGAACTTTCACATTTTTAGTCTTAAAATTTCTGGATCAAATATGCTGCATTCCATCCAGAACTTTCTTGTCTATTAACTCACTCATGTCTAGGCTCTGTGCTCAGTCTTTCTCCTCCAGTCCTGCTATCAAACTTTCTCCAGTATTCATCTCCCTTCACCTATTATTGCATTGTAAGTTTCTTCTACTTTTTCATTATTCTTTACTTAACTCCATTGTACACTCTCTATTGTTGTCCTAACCCTTTAAAAGACTCTCCTAACCCTTAAAAAATAAATTTTGTCTTACTTATTTCACCTAACATGATAACCTTAAGGTGCATGCATTTTCCTACAGTCATTCAAGTTTCAATTTAACAGTTTTTATGATGAAAAAACCAAAAAGAGCCTCCTAATCTGTTGTATGGATATTGAAATCCTTGTGCAGATCAGCCCCTCCCATGCAGAGTTCTTCAGTTTCCTGCTCTAATCTGGACAGGAGATTGTCCGGTCTTGCTTCAGTCTTTTTGACAACACAGATTTTCATCTATAGATCTTCCAGGACACTGTTTCCTGAACCTTATCACTTTCTTTATTTCAACCACCATTTTAATATAGAGCACTTTTAATTTTAAGTAACCACAAAATGATTTGTAGAGGGCCAATTTTCTGGGTCCTACCAATGTCACAAAGACTACTTTCATAGTCCTATTGATAATTTAGTTAAGTAGATAATTTTAAAAGCATATAAAATTACTATTCTGCTTTCAAATTTCCAAGAGATCCAGTTTTAATTCCTATACCACATTTTACCTTCTTTCGTAGTTTCCATTTCTGTTCTCGAAAACCATTGCCAAGGTTCCTATAGTGAATATAAACTCAGTTGTAGACTGTCCAGGAAGCTGGAAGTTACTGGGTCATGGCACAATGTTTTGAGTTCTCCATTAGCTTTCCATCCACCAAAAATACATCGGTTTCTTCTCAGCTGTTTTACAAATTTTTTTGCATATTTTGGCATATTTGTTTCCTTATGATCGTATCAATGCTTATGGTTCATCATTGTAAGATTTTTTAAATAAAAACTTATTTTAATGTAGAATATTATCAAAATTTGCGGTTTTGTTATTTAAATAAACCAAATCTAAAAGCTCGCTGTGATTTCAAAGTCTATGCGATGATCAAAGAAACTTTCCACCTGTATGCTGCCATTTTCACATGAGAACTATTGATGGCGAACCCTTCAACTGTGGCCTCGCTTGCATGATGAAAAGACTTTGGGCTTACGTGCACTGCACTTGGTACAAATTCTCGCTCTTCTGCTAATTAACTGTTTAAATTCTGGGCTAGTTACTTAGCTGCATGAAAATAAAATCTATCTCGATGCAGTCAATTCAGTAAAGATTAGTGATCAACATGCGAGTGCCCAGTAATACACACTCCAAATATATAAATTTATGAAAAAGGCTGGTTCTGTTCTCCACTTTCTTTTCTTTTTTATACCTTTATTTATCTGTCAGATAATTTTGATAACAGTACATCTTTTCTACTTGATATTTTTTTCTAATCCAAAATTATCACCCTTATTTATAATTTGTCTCTGTCTAAATGATCTGATATACACATCACTAGAGACTTCTCCTTGAACTCTAGTCCATCTGTTTAGACCTCTGAAACTATAGAACTGATTATACTATTTCCCTATTCAGGTACTTTAGATGATTCCCTTTTCTTCATAAAATTCAGTGCAACTTTCCTATCTCTAGCCCTCTCAATGCATAAGCTAACTTCAACTTCCATTCTAAACATATCTTATGTGAATTTTCTAGATGTAGCCTCTATTCCAATAAAATTTCATGCTTCTCTAAACATAGGATATAATTTCTCAGGTCTGTTGTCTTTTCTAACTGAAATACACAATTTCCAAAATCCTACATACCTTTAATGTCAGCTTGCATCATAGTTCATAACATCTTCAAAAACGCTTAAGACAGAAATGTGCTGTCAAAAGAAAAGAGAAGAGAAAATTTTGTCACTCCTCAGGAACCTCAGAGCATGCCATTTGAGTTTCCTTAAGTACACATGAAAAACATTCACCAAAATTATTTGTAATTATGCTTAAATAATTGTGTTTTGAAGTATTTAGAGGTAGGAAACAGATCCGTCTTTGTTTCTCCAAAGGATCCACATACATATTTCATACTTGATAGGAACCAATCACAGTCTTTGAATGACTGAAAAAGATGAACATATAATAGAAAGTTTTACATATCCCTTAACAATTTGCTTTAGTATCTAGTTAACGTCTAGTCCTAGATTTTTGAGAAATCATTGCAATTTTCGTTAGTGCTTGTACCAGTCCACACTCTCACCAGCTGTAGAGAAGGGCATAATTTCCCCCACTGTCCTGCCAGCATTCGTTTTTGGTTGATTTGTTGATAGTAGTTATTCTTTCTGAAGAGACATAAAATCAGTATTGCTTTCTGCTTTGTATATCTCAAATGATCAATAATGTTGAACATTTTTTTCATATGTTTGTCTTTTGTATTTTTTCTTTTGAGAAGTATCTATTCATTTCAGATGCCCATTTTTGAACTGTGTCTTTAAATTTTGGGGTCTGATTTTTTTTCAGGTCTTTATATGTTCTAGATATTAGTCCTTTAGTCCAAGGAACAATAGGGTAAGTTTTTTTCCCCACTCTGATTTGTCTTTTCTCTCTGCTGATTTTCTTGCTGTGAAAAATCTTTTTAATAGGATGAAATTGCAGTTGTGGAATTCTGTGTAATATATCCCATTCCACTGAAGTTTTGTTTATGAAGTTTTTCCCTCTATGTATGTCTTCAAGAGTTCTACCTATTTGCTCTTACAACAGATTTAATATTTCTGCTTTGATCTTTAGATATTTGATCCATGTTGATTTTAGTTTAGTACATGGTGATAGACATTGGTCTAGCTTTAGTCTTCAGCATTTGGAAAGCCAGTTTTTCCCAGCATCATTTTTTAAAAAGGCTCCCTCCTCCTCCTCCTCCTCCTCCTCCTCCTCCTCCTCCTCCTTTCTCCTCCTCCTCCTTTCTCCTCCTCTTCCTTCCTCCTCCTCCTTCCTCCTCCTCCTTCCTCCTCCTCCTCTTCCTTCTCCTCTTTCCTCCTCCTCCTCTTCCTTCTCCTCTTTCCTCCTCCTCCTCCTTCTTCTTCTTCCTCTTCCCCCTTCTCCTTTGTCTTTGACTTCGTCTTTGTCTTCGTCTTCATCTTCTTCTAAATATAGAATGCTTCAAAGATTTGCATGTCATCCTTGTGTGTAGGCCATGCTAATCTTTTCTATATCATTCCAATTTTATTATATGTGTTATCAAAGTGAGCACAAGGCTATCTTTCTTCCAGTAAATATGTTTGGCCTCTTTGTCAAAGATAAGGTGACTGTGTTTGTAGTTGTTTTGCATCTTATAATCTGTTCTATTGATTCAGGTCTATTTTCTTGCCAGTACCATGCTGTTTTTATTATATTATCTTTGTAGTATAATTTCAGGTCAGGGATTTTGACATTCCCTGTCTTGCCTTTGTTACCCAGAATTGATTTTGCTTTATATTCAAGGTCTGTTCTGGTTCAAATGAATTTTAAGAATTTTTTTATAGTTCTGTCAAGTATGCTAATGATATTTTTGATTCAGATTTTATTAAAACTGCATAACAATTTTGGTATCATGGTCATTTTTACTATGTTGATTCTTCTTATCCATGAGCAAGGGCTATATTTGCATTTTCTGATGTTCTCTTTGATCTCCTTCAGAGTAATTTTCAATGTGGAAATCATTTACTTCCTTTGTTATAGTGCATCATAAATATTTAATTTACATTTTTAGTGTTGTCATAGAATGCATGGCTTCTCTCCCAATGAGTTTTTTATTCATGTATAGGAAGGCTGCTAATTTTTGAGTGTTGACTTCATATTCAGTTACATAGCTAAATCTGGTTATTAAATCTAGAAGTCTTTCAGTGGAATTATCGGCATCTTCTATGTACAGTATTATGTCATCTGCATAATTATAGTTTCAGTTCTTGTGTAGATTCCTCGAAAAACTTGACCTAGAAGTCCTCTTTGGCCCAGTTATTACTTTTCTTGGTATCTTCCCAAAAGAATTAAAAACATACCAAAGCAATATATTGTGCACATGTGTTTGTTTTAGGTAAATCTTGGGAAAAACCCAAACATCCATCAATTGATGAACTGATTTAAAAAATTGGTTTTTTAATACAATGAAGTATTTCTCCACCATAAAGAAGAGTAAACTCTAGAGATTTATAGCTAACTGGATGGATCTTGAGCCCATATTCTTAAGGGAAACAGATCAGACATTTAAGTATTGTACGGTATCAGACATGTGTAAATATTGCATTGTCTCTCTGGTGTGAGAAACAAATGTAAGTAACAACCAAAACTATAACAGATATTGTGAAATAGGAAGAAATTGTTCAAAAAGGATAGGAGAACAGGGAAACGTGAGAAAAAAGGATAAAATGGAAACAAAGCTGTGTAAATAAAGAAGAGAAAAGGGTCGAATGGAAAGGAAGGGAATGGGAGAGAAATAGGAACTAAAATATATCGCATACATGTGCAAATCCCTATGATGTATGTGGCCAGATGAATATATACATTAAACTAATAAACTTAATTTTAAAAAATCTAGCTAATCTGTTGCTATTTTATTTTAAAAATTTCTTGGTGTTTTGTTTGAAAAATCTAGTTTTTATTGAATGGTTATTTTGTGTTACACAATTTATTAAGCTAATTTTAAAATATATATTTTTGGTCACTGTTATAAATTATAGTACAGTGTTATTAAACTACTATTTTGGGAATGTGAGAACTATGTGGTTAAATTGTGCTTTAGATCACAGCTTATATGTTGCAGAACTAAAATCAAAATGTGGGCCATTCTGTGTCAGGACCTTCTCCTTTCATAGCATATTTCAGAGCAAAGAGTATGCAATTTGTTTCCCACTGTTCCTACCTCTGTATTTTGTGTATGACCACTGCTCAGCAGATATTTTATGGATGACTAAATAAGCAAAAACTGATCAAATAATTTTATTTATAGTTTTAAGGAAATAAGATCATAGAAAATTTAAATCTAATGAACTCTTTTTAGCACTTGAATTTCATGCAATTAGTCAGCAAACATTATTTGTGATAATATTGTTTACACAGATTAATAAATAATTTATTTCCCTTGATTCTGAGAGCTCAAAAATCTTGGCTAAGAAATGTAGAAGATAGCAAAATAGTAAACATGTAAATAGTCCTGAACTACATGCAAGGTACTATTGTATTTGCTTTGGACATATGAACTCTTTGTTAGCCCAAAGAGTTAGCCCAATTGATATCTCATTTTTTAAAATGGAGAAACTAAACTCAGAATATTTAAGAAAACTGTTCAAATTTGCAAGTAAGTAAAAGCTTGCAAGGTCACTATTGTATCCCTGGCATCCTGGATGATATCCACTCCCTTCTCTTCTACGACAGTGCTTCAGATTCACAGGATAATTTGGATCTCCACAGAATTATGTTTAATGATAAATCTACCATACTGATTGCTAGAAGTTGAGAAACATAAATATAACTGAGGACTTCAGAGCAGGAAGCAGTTGCTGCTGGGAAGTTAGGAAGGGCTCCGTGGAGAGGTGACATTTATTTCAGACATGAAGAAGCTGATGAAATCTCTGTAGAGGACCAGAAGAATTTATACAGCTATAGGAGCAAGGGAAGAAATCCGAAGGATGTTTGTATTTTTTATGGGAACAAGCAAGCTTAGCCAGAGTAATATTTCTAGGTAGAAAATTAATGGTAAATTGAAGCAAAGGAACAGATTTTGGAGGATTTAGTTTGTCAAATTAGTATGTCTAAGTTTTGCTTGAGAGGCAAGGTAGAGGTGTTGAAGATTTCACACCAAAGAAGCTTCATTAGTAAAGTGATAAATTGTACATGATAATAGGCAGAAATAAAAGTACGCCTGAATGGAGTTAGCCCTGACAAAATTTTATAGAAACAGAAGAAGAAGTTTTGTTTTCAAAAGATTAATTTAAAAAGTTCTATTCTTTATGTCCTTGAAACAAGTTGACAATCTTACATCTTCACACAGGCAAAAAAAGGGCACATCTTAAGACATGAGAGAGGAGAAATATGTCCCATAATCAATTTTTAAATCGGACAAAGAAGGTGCAAAGTAATCTCTATCCCTTTATTGTCTTTCAGCATCCATAACTTTTAGTAAAAAAGCTTGACATTTTCTGTACTACGTAAAAATTGTGCCTGATTAAACCATCTAGCCCTCTGTCGGGGACTTTGATTTTTCTATAGATATTCCTCTGGCTAGAAAATTGGGTAATAGTGCACAGTTGGAATAAGTTGATAACCTTTTCAAATAAATCAGTGCTTTTTCTTAAGTAGCTAAAACATCACCTGTCTGATTTTATGGACTGTTACTAAAATAGAGGTGATAATTAAATTAAAACAATTGGATTACTTCAGTCCTTTAGATGATATGTTACTGTTATTATCTTTTGGCAGTAATATCCTTAACTGCACTTATAAAACTACTTTTTATTTTACTTATTATTCAAGTTCCATTATATTGCAAAGATGTTGCATCAGATACAGTATTTTACAAGGAACACATCAAAGGAACCCAAGATTATCAAAACTGAGTACATTAATAAAATATCTCACACTATTATTTCCATTGTTTGCATTTTGTTCATCTTGGAAAGTGTACAAGGCTGGGTTCATTTCATTACATTTAGTTCATTCATTACATTCATTTTATACCAAATGAATCAATTTCATTTTATACCAAATGAGCAAATTTTTATTTCACAAAGAAAGATAATAAGTTTTCTCCCTTGCTTACCCTTATTTCTCTTCATCTTTTCCCCTCTTTCTTTTCAGTCAAATCCTCCCAGCCAAAAAGAATTGTTCCAACTGAAATTTCTAAGACTGTTCTATCCCCACACCCCCCTCCCAGAAAAACCCTCCCCTGGAAATCACTAAAAAGGAATTTCATCCTATGACTCACTTTCTTCTTGGCTCTTTATTAACATCAGTATTAAATCAGTCCCCAATTGGAATCCAGTATTGTGAATGAATTATTCTGCTTGACCGACCTATTGTAATTCAAAAGTCTGCATTTTTTTTCATTTTCCTTAAAGCTATAAGTTATACTGATGCTGAATAAGGCAATTTTGAATTCAATCCCAAGTCTGGATAGAGCAGTTAAAGATGGTTTGAATGATTAGTCTAAAGTTACTATTTTTATGATATAGTCCTTTCAAGATTCATATAATCATTTGGCTATAAGTAATCTACAACCAATTGTGTCTATTTAGATCTGCATGTATGTTTCTTTTATAACTGATGACACAGGTGTTTTGCTTTCATGAAATACATTATGATATGCAAAGTAAATATAATAAAAGCAGATTTTATTAGAAGTATTCAAGTAGTTTAGCAATTAAAATAAGTACTTCATAATTTAGATTTATTTATTGCCATATGCATTACATAAAGAGAAAAAAAATGTTTTCCTGAAGATGTGATTTTTATCAAGTCGGGAACATAGATCAGTGCTAAGTATGTTCAATATTGACTAGCTACATAAATGGCTTGGAATCCACTGTATAATTCACAGTTATCTGCACTATTTCCTTCTAATTTGATATCGGGAAGTTGCATAAGCCAGTTGCATTAGGCTAGGGCAATTAACTGGTGATTTGGAGCATTTAGCTTGAAGATTGGCTTGTGAGGAGCTCCCCTAGCCATGGTGCTCACAGGAAATAGATTCTGTTTGTATTCTGGCTGAACAAAATGGTTCATGAAACAGTTTCACAGAGAGACTGTATCAGAAGCCAGTAAGCCTTTGTGAAAACACTTGTTGGGAAAAAAAAATTTGGTTTTGTCTAAGCCAACATCATGAACAAGTGCCAGATTATCTTCATAGCTTTATTTTTGGAACCAGAAGTATTATTTTAATGGAGAAATGAAGTTCAAAAATAACTGAGGGATATTTGTTTTAATTATTAACAAATTATAATTGAACAACATTTTGGTAACTCATAACTTTAAATACATCCCTTAATTTCTGTTCTCCCTATGATTTCTTGTTATGTCCTGCTGAATTTTACCGTTATAGACTTCATTCTTGAGGTCATATGGCTGAATTTTCTCAACATCAAGGGAGCAAATGATTTCAGTCAGTTTAGTCCCACTTCTATCAAAACTAAAAAAGAATTGAAATTAAGGGAAATTTAACTGAAGATAATGTACACTTTCTTCCTTAGAAATCTCAAATCCTGTCTGTTAAGAAAATCAGACCATCAGAAGACCAGAATTTAGATCAATTAATCTGGATTAGGTTAAAGCAAAACAAACAGCACATGTTTTACAGAGTGCTGGAGAAGTGATACAGGTAGTTACTAAGCCAACCAAAGAAATCTCTCTCTAGATGGTAAATCTCAAAGTAAAAACAAATGTGACTCTTCCAGACCGAAAGCAATTGAGAGAAAATATGAACTCAGTGAACATAAGAGTGCACTGAAAAGCCCAGAATAGAGTAATTTATCCTTTTAAGAAAAGCATCTTGTCCCTTCAAGGTAATCCCATAATTCCAGATAATTATGGGTAAATAACTCTACTATAAAGTCAGATGTAACTAAAGAGAGATAAAGTGAAAAGGGAATCTAATGGAAAGAACAGTAGAGGAAAACTTGAGAAACAAAATACTTCCATGGGAGCAAACCCACTTGAGCTTTCTACACTGCAGACTGCACTAAGGTTCCTTGGTGTTTTGAACTATTAAAGCACTCAATTATTCTACATATGAGGTTGCATCGGTGGTCAGTAGGGGTTAGGGCTAAACTAACATCTCATTCTTTTTCACATAGGAATTAACTGGTGCATGCTTGGATATTATATCCTCTCCACTTACAACATAGGAATACTCACATGGAAGTCATTATTATACTTTCTGTAAGTTACATTGAGAGTAGTATCTACTGAAAATTTTTGTAGCCCCAAAAGTCTATCATCAGAAATCTTATAAAATTCATTATTATGAAAAGTATACACTGATAATAGTACTATAATTACCCTTCACTCTGATAATAATAGTCCTATAATTGATTGTACTTTAATATTTGCACCCAAATATAGCCATCTTAAGAGCAAAAGTTTAAATTTTCCTATAACAGCTAAAACCTCAACTTTGGAAATGAATAAGATTCAGTTTGAACTTAGTAGATGTATAACAGACCCCAGATTATTTAGCATCTCATGAACTTAAAATTTCCTTATAAAGTGGAAATAATAACAGCTTTCAAGTCACCATCCTTGAAAGGCACAACTAGAGGGTATATTTACAGCAATAAAAATATTGTGAACAATTATTTGTTGAATACTTAGTTTATAGGCTTTTCAGTGCTGAACTTAACCATGCTATACCTTATCTCACTTAGGATGACCCTATAAAGTGAGTATCACAAACTTTTGTCTATCCACAAACAGCTCAGTTTGCAAACACTATCATTCTGCAAAAATTTGCCTCCGTTTGCAAACGGCACATCAGAGGACAAACAAGGTCATCACCATTTCCCCCACAGGGATACAAACACATCTGTCTTCACACTGACACATAGTTCTGGCTTCCTCTAGTGGAGACCATAGTCACAGGTAGACCTGCGTACACTTGTGAAACTGTTCATGTGCTTTTTATGACATAGAATACTGTACATTATTATTCTTTCCAGCATGGCCCCAAAGAAATTGCAGAGCAAATATAGTGGTAGAACGGAAATGCAGAGTGATCATTAAGGTAAAAAGTATATGCAGAATAATAATGAAGCTGGCAGGAACGTGCATAATAACAATAGTAAGATTGTTTTAAAATATAGCCATTGCATTGAAAAAGGAAACTATAGAAAAGTATGAGCATAGTGTCCATGTGACTGATCTGACCTCAAAGCATGAGATGGAGAACTCTTCAACTTGACTATTTTGAAGGATAAAAACACCATCAAAGGAGCTCATGTGGCAGAAGAAGCAACAATGTTAAACCAGTGGACACAAGTGCTAAAAGAAGTGGAAAACTTTTGTTACTGGGTCTGTTGGTTACTTTTCCCTCAGTGCTGAGGCAAAAAATCTGACACTCAAAATTAGGAAAGGAAAGCCTTATTTAGCTCACAGTTTGTGAAGGTTTCGGTCCAAAATCAGCTGGCTTCAAGCAGGGTGGTGTGGCACAGGGCCAACAGTTCAAGGTGCAGGAGACTGCAAAAGGAGATGAGGAGAGCAAGCCTCTTCTCCTTCTCATGTTGTGAGGATGCAACCATCACCACCCCATCCCAGAGTGGGTGTAACACTCCTCACCTCTGTACCCTACAGGCTGAGGATCTTTACAAAGTAAGGAGCCTGGCTCCCCGCTGAGATGCTTAGTTAAACTTCTAAACTTCTGAAGTTGACACAATATGTTAACCATAATATGTTAAGCAATGTGTTGAATGAGAAACAGCTAACAGGTAATGGCTTTAGTGAAGTTTTGATCTGTAAAAAGCCAAGAAATTTCACAGTGATTTCCTGAAAGAAAACCTCTCTGCAAATAACAAGTAAAGTCAGTAGAGGGTGGGTTGATAAATTCCACAAGAGAAGTAGCATAAACAGTGTGCTAAGACATGATGAGGCTTCCAGTTCTGAAAGGCCACTGCAGAAGTCTGCAAGAAAGCACTCACGGACTTGATGAACGCAGAAACATCACTCAACAAAAATTCAACTGTGATGAAACAGTGCTCTTCTGGAATAAAATGTGAAACAGAATCTGTATCACACAAGAGGAAAAGACACTGCAAGGGCACAAGCCTATGATGGGTAGGGTGACTCTTGCCATGTGCAAATGCAAGTACTGACCTGGAGACTAAGTCACTACCGGTGCACTATTCCCAGACCCATCATGCCTCCAGGGAACACAATGTGAAGAAGTGCAGACTACTTGCCAAGTGTCAGTGCAAAACTTACGTCGGAAGTCAACAGTTCGTGGACTGATTGCATAAGGTGCTGACAGTCTCCATTTAAGCAATAACTTCTTTCCGGTAACATGTTGCCTGAAAGTTGCCTTCTTCTGACAGATAATGCCCTGGCATGCCCTTCAGCTTTAGTGGATGATATGGACCCTGAGTATGACTTCTTTGTAAAGATTAAGTTCCTTCCCTGCAATATGACCCTTCTCCTGAGGCACGTGGACCAGCAAGTGATTTCCAACTTCAAGAAGCTGTACGTAGACCCTGCACCAGACGTTTAAATGTCACTGAAGAGATACCCTTTACCTTGAAAGAGCTCTGAAAGAAGAATGTCATCTTCCACTGCATTGACCTCAGGACAAAGCCTGAGAAGATGCCTTGCATCAAGCCTTCAATTCAGCCTGGAGAAAATCATGGCCAGAATGTACAACTGGTGTGACTTGAAGGGACTGATGTACGAACAGTGGAGGATATTGTATCCCAGGGCAAGAGTATGGGTCTGGAGGTCAACGGTGCAGATTAGAGAGGCCTGTTGAAGACAGTAACGGGAACTGATGATTAACAGCCTGCAAAACTCCAGAGTGAGCAGCAGAAAGTGCTTGTCGATACACATGCCACTGAGGAAGCGGAAAAGAAGGAGGAGGTGAGCAGAGATGTGATAAAATCCATTATGGAAAAATGGAATAAGTGGCAGGATTTCTTTGGGAAGCAACACCCCAACATGACTGTAATGAAGAGTGCTGAATCTGATGGACAGTAATGTGGTCTCTCATTTCTGGAAGGTAATGCAGCACAGCACAAAACAGAATTTTCAACAAAATTGACCTACAGCTAATAGACAAAGAAGAGAGGAAACCCCTGACAGAGATCTCCTTGATGATCTCATGGAAGGGAACTCTCCCTCCAAACAGCAACCTCCTCCCTCCCTACC